TTTTAATGTTCATGCAATATATTCTGAGTTATCCACTTTATTCTGACGCGCGAATTAATAGGATACAATTTTAAACATGTTTTTGAACGCCACGAATTAAAAGGATACATTTAAAAATTAGCGTTCGAAAATAAAATGGGTGCGCGAACTAATAGAGACCGCGAATTAATCGAGTTTTTACGGTATACCAAGAAACCTGCCAAATACTTTGTTTGAGAGTTGAAAATCTACGACATTGTGATGTACATATGTAAAAAGTGTGACTATCATCTTGCTCCCTTATTTAGAATGCTTATAAAACTAGAATGTTTTGACAACAAAAATATGGTTATTTTTGCGCATTTCAGTGACTAGTTTATGACACTGTGTCTGGAAGTGTGCATGAACATAATGTTGTCTAGGAATTACACGTTATTTACAAGTAAAATTATCTTTAGTTGCCAGCCAGATTTTCCGGGCCATGGTTTTAGAATATTAATACAGATCAACAGATGGTGGAGGTGGATAGTATAATTACCTTGTGTAACTGCATCGCTATAACATGGAATTGATGATCACATATTATTTTCCATAAAGCCAATACTTGGCAGGCGTACTGAACTAAAAATTGGAAATTTATCAAAGCTGCTTTCTCTGCTGCTTCAGCTTCAGCTAGATGTAGAGAACAAACAATTTAGAAAATAATTGATTAATTAGTGAATTAATTTGTTATTGGATAAATGAATTGAGTAGTAGTACAATTAGTTTGATAAATAATCACATAGAAAGAGATTATTAAGCAAACAAATTTGAATTCTATATAGATTGGTGGACATGTCATCAACGCAGTAATGCTAAATAGTACTTGAGTCCTTATCAATGACAATGTCCATGTTTGTATTTGGCTGAATTTACATTGGAGAACACAAAATTGTGTCTTGGCTTTGTAACGAAATTGAATTAAATCAGTCAAAGCATATCCTACAAATGGATAGAAGCAAAATAAAAACAAAATGGCCACCAGGTAGCCATTTTGAATCAAATCACAAAAATAAATTTCTACAAACCTGTTTATTTTTGATTTTCAGTTTTTACAAAATAGCTATAAGTAAATAATCAACAAATCAAAGAAAGCTTAGAAAGAACTCCCATGTGCTGAGAGTATTGGAGACACATTAAATATAATTCGAAATTACTTAGCTGAAAACTAATTATGCAAATCAGAAAATTAATATGACCAGATTTGAGTGTAAAACTAATGAGGTCTGCGCAATGTAACAGAAAATCTATGTCTCCAAGTTTAATTGAAATGTGATTAGAACCAAAAAATTATGAATTATTATGCTTATTAGGGAATTAATATGAACAGATTTTTACCCCAAACTAATTAGGTTTGTACATTGTCCTAGAGCATCTTTGTACTAAGTTTCATTGAAATGGAATAATTAGCACCATGAAAACTCCAAAATTTCGACCCCTCTAAAAATTTGACCGCCTATTTATTTGCCGGGTTTCGGTGTTTTATTTACCTCCAAATTTTCGACTCCACTAAAAATTGCCGACTCATTCTTATTCGAAAATTGCGACCAGTTTTAGTTTTCCCCCAAACGAAAAAAAAACCGATGTGAGCGTTCAAACGGGACCTTCCTCAAAGGCATGAATCCGGGTTTCTGATTGACTGAGAGATTTTTATTTTATTGGTAACGAAAATATATTCTAAATAAACGAAGTTTCAAATAAAAACGAACACAAAAATCTCGGCATGCTGCGTTTCTGAATTGTTGATTATTACTGTACTCAGTAGTGATTATAATAATGTACACAAAATAAATTTGTTGAATGGTTATGAAATACAATAAAGTCACTTAGTTTCATCGTAGCGAATGATTCCGG